AGATTCTGTTTTGGGCATGATGGTTCCAAGGTGTTTGCGATTATTCTAATGTGTCCCCCAAAATTCAGGTCTTGGACACTTAATCCCCATTGTAATGCTGTTGAAAGGTGGAACCTTTAAGAGGTGATAAGTGGTGAAGGCTACACCATCATGAAGAATGAGTCATGTCATTTCCATGGGAGTGGGTTTGTTATAAAAACAAGTTTGGCTTTCTCACACCATGTGATGCCTTCCTCTGTGGTATGACACAGCAAGAAGGCCATCACCAGACACTTGATTTGAACGTCTCAGCCTCCAGAATTGTGAATCAAATAACCTTCTATTGTTTATAATGTATCCATACTGTGATATTCTGTTATTGCAATACCAAATGGATTAAGACAGTAGCTAAGCATACACTGGGGTTCCTGATCCAAGAAAGTACATCCAGGCATGGCCCTTAGAGAGGAGGGGACAACAGGAGCCTGCCTCTGCCCCCCCTGGATTTCTTGCTACCAAGCACCCTTCAGCTGTGATGGGTCCTGACTTTAATATTCTTGCTGTACTGTGTCTTTTGTGTGTAATAAAACTATGTTTATAGGCATTGTCATTTGGTCCTGTGAAGTTTCATTAGTAACAGAGCCCTGATTAGCAGCCACTGTTGGGGTGGCACATAGCCCTGAGAGAGCTTCCCTGGGAGCCCCAGCCCAGGGTCACAAAGTCAAGCTGTGGCAAAGGTAAAGCTTGAAACAAGTGCTCTGATTCCAAGTCCTTTGCCCTTTTCACAATACTGATTCCTTTCACCACCCGTGACTGGTTCTGGAGAAAATAAAGGAGAATTTATTGAGTGGTGGTCTCAGGCAAGCACTGCCCTGTGTTCTGAAAGCAGAGCTGTAAGTTAGGCCAGCTGCATCCATAAGGTGAAAAGGGGATCACCCCCCAGCCTGGGCCCACATGGTCACTTTTGGTGTTAGAGACCCAGGGTTGTCAGCTTTCTCCCCCTGAGGCTGGAGAGGCCTTAACTGTCTCAACACTGGCTCCTGGGAGGAGGCCCCAGCAGTTCATTTCTGGAAAAGTTTGTGATTCAGAGGAAACAAGTGAACACACCATGCCCCCAGACCTCATCCCCATGTAAGATGTTGCTATGAGCTTGTGACTGACAAAAGATCTGCTGCAGGCCTTTGCTTCCACAATGTAAGCTTCCAGCAATTCTAATCCAATCCCTAATTAAGACACATATGGAAAGGCCTGCCTCTTTTGTGCTCTCCAGTGTTCAGGCCACAAGAAAGCCTTTTGGAAGTCCAGCCTTGGAGGAAGGCACAGTGCTTAGGAAGAGCTGGCCCTGGCCTCTAACCTTCTGGTGCTCAGCTGGGCTCTGCAGGCTTCTTTTGGGTACAGGCTCAAGTTCATCTGCATAGCGAATGGGTTGAACGTTTGTGAGCATCGTATCTTACTGATTGCTCTATTTTTACTACTATTTTTTTGACAGCAAGGGAGCTAGAGAAACTGGGAATTGAGACCCTGACATGGCCATCCTTCCTTTTAGAGCATCTGCCTCAAAATTTTGGATTCAATTGTATGATCCTGTACATATGACCTTGCCCTGAGAAGAGAGGTTACCAGCAGGGTAAGAACATCTCCAGCAAGAGTATCAGCAGAAAGGTTAAATCCAAGGACAGCTTGGCTTTATCCACAGTCAGACAGGCACTTCCCAATACAAATTGCTTGATCGATCCACTTCCCCTTCCAAAATATCCCCTTCACTGCCATTCAAAACAGGAACATTCGAGGACTATGCAGAGCTCTACAACAGGCAGGTGCCTTGTGTTGGAATGCAGGTTCTTTCATGAAGTTAGTCTCTCAGACCCAGGTCTTATGAAAGTTATGGTCAAGGAAAACAAAATCAGTGGATATGCTCCAAGGAAAACACCAGCGGCTGTTTGCAGGCAATATTCACAGAGCACAAAGTTCCCCCAAAGAAGATGCACAAAGATGGGTGGCCACAGTTTTTGGTCCATTTGGGGTGACGCTATGGAAAATCCTCAGGGTAGTTTAGCAAGCCTGTTATAGCTGAACCTCCATCAAACTCAGATTCCAGCACAGTTCTTTATGTTGTACCCAAAATAGCCTCTTTCAGACCACATCGTCCAGATTTAGCATTTAGGTTGAAGGTCAGATGTCTTAACCAGTCCCCAGAGCCATGTGGCTGCAGTGTTCCCAGCTTCAGTGCATCCCATGTACATGGCTGTGTCACACTACAGAGCAACCAACTCAACAGGTGCTGCCTGTTCTCTGCAAGATCCAGATGCAGTGAAGGCGGGCCCACCTCAGCCGCTTCCTGAGTGTGTGATCTCAGGTGTGTGAAGTGGTGGCAGTGATACCTATACCCCAAGCATGTGTCAAGAGTGGATGCTATTGGACAGGGAAGCCTGTGCACAAAGCCTGGTGAGTAGGAACTTGGACAATGCAAATGGTTACTTGTTTTAGTCTATTCATTTGGGCTTGGCACTACCTTACCTCCAGGCTATTCTTGAGAAAAAAATTCAGCAAATCTTTATTCCTTTTATATCTTTATTTCTTGAGTGGGCAAAAGTCCCTAGGAAGAGTTGGGTGAGAAGGTGGGGGTCCTATGGGACAGATTGCCAACCTTTCATTTTGCTATGGATATCCTTGTCATGCTGAACAGTGAGGAAACACTGTCGTGAACAGCTCAGGGGATGCTCTGGTGATTTTCAGCCGCGAGACAAGATGCTATGAGGGAATTAGGCCTAAAAAATTTGACCAACCAAAGCAATCAATTACTTTGCTCATCCGAAAAGCTGTTTTTTGTAAGCATTTCGCCTCCAAATACCCTAAGCATACTGTTTTGCTCCTGGTTTTTATTGCAAGAATGCTATAATGTTAGTCAATTTTAATAGATGGAAAAAAATCCATTCAGACTCACCTCCCCACTAAACTTCAGCTGTTTGGATATTGAGACCTTGCATAGTCCTTCTTCGTAAAACTCGATAATTTTGTGAGCAACAATAACTTAAGCATTTTTCATTTTAGTCTCTAAACTGAAAGCTTGTATCATGAATGGGCTGATGTTCCCATTTTTCTCACAATTCTAATTATTCTTCTGCAACCCCACCCTCCCTACTAAAAGAAAAAACGTCCTCTTACAAAACTCATCGGTTCCCATGGCTTGTTGGTTGCTAGAAATGTTAAACTTTTGAGTGGGGCCAATCCTTCTACTGTTCCTCTTCACCCTGCTCCTCCAACTGTTCCAAGATTTTCTCAGTGGCTGATGGGGGCCAAGACTGGGAAATAAGACCTCGGTGAAAATGTTGGCTTTGTTAGTTAGTGTTTGCAATGTGTCTTTCAGTTTCTTCATTTTGTTTTTGGCAGTATCGGGGGTTTTTTAACTTGGGATCTCACACTTGCTAGGCAGATGCTCGACCACTTGAGTCACTCTGCCAGCACTTTAATGTGTTGGGTATTTTTGAAATAGGGTCTCAAGAACTATTTGCCCTGGGGTGACTTTGACCCTTGCTCCTCTGGATCTCTGCCTCTTGAGTAGCTAGGATTACAGGCCACCAGTGCCCTGCTCAGTTTCCTCATTTGTAAAATAATGCCATTAATACCTACCTGAGTTAGTATTTTGAGAAGTAAATGAAATAAAGGATTTTACATTATATGCTTACCTGCAGCATTGGAAAAATGGTAATTGTATTCCTTTCCTAGGGCTACCATTGACAAACTAGGTGGCTTAAAACAATACTAATGTATTCTCTGACCTGGCTCAGGAGACCAAAATCAAGGTGTCGGGGCTGATTCCTTGTGGGAGTTCACAGGGAAAATTTGTTCTGTGCCTACCTCCTAGCTTCTGGTGATTGCTTTTTTTTTTTTTTTTCTCGCAGTACTGGGGTTTGAACTCAGAGCTTCATGCTGGGTTAGGCAGACACTCTACCACTTGAGCCACTCCACTAGCCCAAGTGATTGCTCTTTATTCCTTGGCTATAGCTGCACCATTCTAATCTCTGCCTCTATCATTTCACAGCCTTTTTTCCTCTTTGTGTGTCACTGTGTCCTGCCTTCTTATAATAACCCTTGTTGGTAAATCAGGACCCACCCTGATTTAGTACAACTTCCTCTCAACTAAGTACACCCCAGAAGGCTCTATTTCCAAATAGGGTACACTTTGAGGTTCTGGGTGGACATGAACCTTTGGGGGACACTCTCTATTCAGCCCATAACAGTAACCAGCATTGTGAAAGCATGAGAGAGGGTGGCATCTGGTTTCTCTCCTTTCTAGTGGCCAAGTCTCCCAGAGCATCATGGGAACCTTAGATTGGTCCATAGGCTTTTCTGGAAGAAACACACGTTCTCTTAAATTGTAAAATTCCCTGTTAGTAAGTCCAAGACAATTCAAGTGCCCTCTCCGAGACTTTCATTTTCTCTTCTGTGACATGGGAGTTTATCAATCACTCAAGAAGTATTGATTGACCCTCTCCATGTTGCTCAATAACACAGCATAAACAATAGCTGGTAATTGTCCTCAACTGGCAAGGGACTTCGGAGTTCTTTAGTCACATACACTCAGTTCCCAGGTGACTTCATGAATCAAATATTGCTGCAGAGAAGTTTATTGACTAAAACTTCTGAGCCCTTGCAAGAGAGGGTGTCATTACCAAACTAGGGCTTCCCAGTGGGCATCTGTCTCTCTAGGTATCACATTTCTCTGTCCCTGGCTCTTCACAGAGGCTGGGAGAAGGAGGAGGGAAGCCAGAGGCAGAGAAAAGCAGTGGTTTTATACTGAATGACAGAGCAGGTGTTGTGGTTGGTTGGTGCGGTTGTTTCCCTGGCTATCAGAACACACATTTTCACTTCCAGCACTTAGCAAGAAAGAGTATTGAGTCCTGAGGAGTGACCAGGTCCCATCATTGAAATGAACTGAAGCTACAAACCGGGCCATTAAGTCCCTGTTCTCAGCAAACAGCTTTGTGTTCATGTCTTTTTGCATCTTTTTAATGTCACAGGAGGAGACGCACTGAACCTGATCCACTTGCCGGCTACCAGCAACGTGGCAGAGAACTCTCCACCTGCGACTCTGGTGCACAAGTTTTCTGTGAACTTGTCAGTATCACTGTCACCCGTGATCCCAGGATTTCCCCTGATAATCAACTCAAGTCCCTTCACTGAAGCCTTCAGAGTGAACAGGCTGTCAGGCACTGACTTCGAGGTAAGCAACATCTCACCCTCAGCCCCAGTGACAGCCGAGGCTGGCCTGAAGATGGGATACCTGGGCTAGACCAGCGGTCCTTTCCTCCTCTCTCCCGTTTAATTTCTCCTCGTGGATGATCCAGCAGTCCTGTTCCCAGCATCCTCCAGCCTACTGTGCTAGGTGCCCCTGTAGCCCTTCTACCTTCCCTCCACAAAATACAGTCCCATGAAAGTGATGCTCAATTGCTACAAATGGAAGACTTGTTCCTCGATGCCGACAATGTGCATGTGAAATCAGGTGTCAGGTGTATGTTCGCTAACTAAATTCTTTCAGTGGGATAGGTCGGTTATTGATCTTACTAAGAGTGTTGGTCTTGTATGTGCTGATTCTGCTTTTCTATGATTCTGTTATTTTTTCAGAAGCAAATCTGAGTAGGCTTATTTAAGATAAATACCTTTTAAGGAGAGCTCAAGTGGTAGAGCACCTGCCTCACGAGGGCAAAGCCCTGAGTTCAAACTCAAAAAAGAAAAAAAAAAAGATAGATACCCTTTTATAAAAATATAAGTTTAAATGCCAGTCCCTACTGTGTGAACATTTCCTCTTGGATAATTCAGATCCAATAATTCACATTCAAGAGCCATGTCATCATTGCTCTGTTTTCTAGTTTGTCATTTGCATCTTTCTCAAAGTTGTCCCTTCCCCATAGGAAGGGTCAACCTGCTCTTTGCATGTTTTCCCGGGTCACCTCAGAGGTGTTCTAAGGATGTCTTTAGGGCTGGGGTGTCTGGATTTATCTGTACTTTGGTATTCTTTACCCCATCCCTTCCTTACCTGGCCTTGGGTCCTTAATGGACCCAGGGGCCTCCGGTTGGCCTGGCCTGGGCTGGGCTGCTTCTGTGAGTTCCATCCCAGGTGTTCTTGAACCCAGCTCATCATTAGTGTTGGTAGGGGAGCCTTTACAAAATGTGCAGACCTGGGCTTATAGCAAATCTGCAGAACCCATGGAGGAGGCCAGCAGCCAGGCATCTGGTGTTCTTATCACCAGGGCTAGGCCTTCTAGGTAAGGAGCATACTTTCAGTCAGTCTTCACCTCAGCATCTGGGGCACATTCCCAGGCCCCAGGTTCTGCCTTAGGGACTTACCTGCCCTCTCTACCTACTCCTTTGACTTCCTGGCTGGTTTTTACCAGCTGCTGCTTACACTTACAGAGCTCCTTATATGTGTCAGAGACTGCTGAAAGTGCTTTATACATGTCTGCTCTTGTAATCCTCAAAACAACTTAGAATTGTATTTTTAGTATTCTCTCCTTTTCAGAGATGAGGAAAATGAAGCACAGAGAAATTAAGCAATTTGTCCTAGGCTGCACAGCTGGTAGGTAGTAGAGCTCAGATGAAAGCCAGGCAGTCTGGCAGAACTCTCATTTTTTAAAATAGCTTTACTGAGTTGTTAATTCACCTAGCATATTCTCTACCCATTAAAATTGTACAAGTCGGTGGTTTTAGTATATTCATAGATGCAACCATCACCATAATCTAATTTTAGAAAATTTTCTTTACCCCAACATGAAAACTTGTTCTCAGTTGTAGTCACTCCATTTTCCTACCTCCCAAGACCTTGTAAACACTAATCTTTGTCTCTATGGACTTGTCTGTTTTGGACATTTCATATGAGTAGAATCATCTAGTATGTGGTGTTAAATGACTGGCTTCTTTCATGTAGCATAAAGTTTCAAGGGTCACTCGTGTTGTAGCATGTATCCATACTTCACTCTTTTTTTATGGCTGAATAATATTCCACCATATTTGCCACATTTTTTGTATCTGTCCATCAGTTGACAGACATTTGGTTGTTTCCACTTGAAAGCACTCATTCTTAGCCTCTATAGTCCACTGCCTTTAAGGGTGATGATAATTCTTCAAATTTGCATAGAGGTTCTAAAACACATTTTCATACCTGATCTCCTCACTGCTATAACTAACACTAATATCACCACTATTTCAAGAGTTTTAATTCCTACTTTACACATAACTGAGAGACAGCAAGGTTAAACGTTTGTCCAAGATCACATAGCCGTAAAGATGAAATAAGTACTTAGCTCAGTTTTCTGATTTCAGCCCAGGCTCTTTCCCCTTTGTGCACATTGATGGCTGTTTAGTTGAGTTTCCGAATTCATCTTCATGGGACCTGCCCTTCCCACATTCTTTGTGATTCAAGCTGGGCTGTCAGTTAAGGAAGCATTCTTTCCTAACCTCTTGACATGGCAAATTTTTTACCCCCACCCCCAACCCTGCCAGCTACTCTAGGCTAAATTGTTCAGTGTCTTTCCAATCCTGTGCACTCCTGTCCCCAGGCTCTATAGCTGCCCTGGCCCCTGTGCTGTTACAAGGAAGGGCCACAGGCTCACAAGTCCTGAGGCTATTCTTAAGAACTGATGGTTTTTCCTGGGCACTGGTGGCCCACTCCAGTAATCCTAGCTACTTAGGAGGCTGAGATTGGGAGAATAGTGGTTCAAGGCCAGTTGGGCAAATAGTTCGTGAGACCTCATCTCCAAAATATCCAGAACAAAATGGGCTGAAATTGTAGCTCAAATGGGTGAGTACCTGCTTTGTGAGTTTAAACCCCAGTCCCACCAAAAAAAAAAAAAAAAAGGATTGGTGGCATTTCCCCATAAATTACCCCATATCATCAACCATTCCTCCAAAGAAGATCTCCAACCTGAAGAGCTCACAAAAGCCATTCCTACCACCTCACAATGCCATCTCTGTGGCAGAACCTGGATCCTCCTTGGGTCGTCTTGATGGATTGGAGGATGATGAGTCTAGAGATGATGACATTTTGGGTTCTAGCCCAGAGGTCTGCTCACAGTTGGCCTTGAGACTCAGTTGTTCTTCCTGGGGGTGAGCGCTGAATCTCGACAGGGGCCAGGCTTCCCTGCTTGGGACACAGCTGCCAAGACTCCTGGGATGGGGGAGGTAAGGAGGATTATAGATGATGAGAGCAAGTCACAGTTGTGGGGCATTTACCATATGCCAGGAGTTTCTGTAAACAAGTTGTGACTTCATTTACCTTTCATAATGATGCTAGGAAGTAGTTTGCTGTTTTATTTGTAGGTCAAAGGTAGGAAAGCTGAGGTGTAAATAGACGAGCAGCTTGTTCAAGTTCACATGGTTAGCAGTGGCAGACTTGAGATCTGGGATCAGGCAGGCTGACCCCAACAGTCCTTGTGGCCCCCATGTTATGCAGCTCACCAGTGACCTGCAAGAGAGATGTCAGAGCCTCATTCAGCCCCACGTGGCTGGTCGTGGTTAGGGATTTTTCTCCTAGAGCAGCACAACGAAGCCAGGGAGAGTGACCACTGGTAGAGCCCAGCAGCTGTGAAGACAGGAGCTCTCCAAGGTCCTGTGAAGGCCACTGCTTGCCCCTCTCTCAGTTCACTTCTGAGCCTGACTCCCCTCTTTTCCTTCCACTGTTGTCCTAAAAATACGCTCAGCCTTATCCAGGATAACTTCAAACTTAACATGCTGAAAGCCAAACTTACTGTATCGTACCAAAACTCTGCAGCTAGATCATCTACGCCAATCGAGGTCCCCCACTCCCAGCTGTGACCTTGGGGGAGTCCCTACCCCTCTGGGTCCTAGTCTTCTCCTATGTGAAATGGAAGGGACGTTTTACCGACCCATGGTTGTGATAATTAAATGCAATACTCCACAAAATGGCCTTGCAAGGGGCAGACACGAAATCATTTAATAAATGCTGATAACAGCAAAACAATTTCTTCCATTTGTATTGATAACAACCCAACTGTCCTGGTTCCAAGATAAAACATTTTGGGCCCTTTTTACTGAGTGGTCTGTTTGCTTCTTCTGGGGTGTTAGAGCTAGTTCTTAAGGAGAAGGTGCTAGCAATATTTAGGGCAAGGGTTTATCTAAACTTGGGGCTCAGAAGAGGGCTCCAGAAAGCTAGCAGGAAGCTAGAGTATAAGTCAGAATCAGGGCAGACCATTGTAACAGAGGGTCTTGCTCTGGTGGACGTGTATTCCTGCAGAATTTGTTCAGCGCCAGGTGGTGTTCTAAATAATTCCTACAGATCAGCTCATTCAGTTCTCACGTCAATCCTGTAAGGCATATGCTATCTTTAGACCCATTTTACAGGTGGGAAAGCTAAGGCACAGACAGGTTATGAAACGGGAGGCTGAGCTTTGAAATCCATCAGTCTGGCTCCAGAGTCGGTGCTTGTGACCGTTGTGTTCTGCTGTCTCACTTTCCACATGTGGAACATAGAGACGATGTACATACGTGTGTATGTAAGCTCTTTCTGCAGAGCCTCTCCACAAAATAACCTCTCTTCTCCCTCAGTCCTCTGTACATTCTTCCTCCACTCACACACATTAACACCTGTGGCTGTCTTCCCTTAGCCAGTGTAGATCTTGCAAATTTACCATACCCACCACCTCCTCCATGTAAGACTGTTCTCTGACTAATCACAGCTCACGATGAGCTCTTCTCCTGATCTTCCACAGTACCTCGACCTTGATCTTTGTTATGGTATGTCAGCTCTTTAACTAGGTTAGGAATTATTTCCCTAATTGTAATCACATGGAAGCTAGGATAAAGAGTATCCCCAATAAGAGAGGGGTGGGGGAAATCCTCAGTTTAGCTCCTAATTTCCACATGACTCACAGGCTCTTGAAATCCACAGTGAAAAGCATTTCAAAGAAATAAAGGAAACTCACAGGTAGAAGGGTAGCAGAGATTTATTTATTCAGTATAGCAGGACAAAGTAGGGAGAAACAGAAAGGGAAAGAGGAGCACCGCTCACATGCAAGAGGTGGAGTCAAAGAGGCTTGAAATGGCAGTCTTTCCCTTTCCCCCCCCTCCCCAGAATATTTATACCTTCTGAGCTGGGGGATTTCAGTTTGAACTTTCACCTGGGTAAATCAATCATTTTGCTAAATTCCCTTTTTTTGTTGTTAATTGAACATGGAGACAATGGGTCTAGGATGAGTTGGTTTATTATTACCCAAATGTGGAGACAATGTGTGTAACCTTTTGGGGACTTCCTTTCTGGCCAAAGAATTACCTTCTATTTGCAGATTGATTACTCATCTAGAGAGATTGCAACTCTGTACCTAAGGGAGAGAGGGTGCTGAAGAGGCAGGTGATAACTCAATTCCTTGCTCCTGCAGTGATTTGGGATTTAGTTTCTGATTTTTGTCCCACCTCCTGAATCTAGCTTACTTTTTGTATTCATATTTATCTATTTTTTCTAATTACCCTATCCTTTATCCTATCTATCCTGCCTCAGAAAAGATAAAGGGACTTTCTCAAGGTCACTCAGACGTTCAGCAGTGGAAATGGAGAAGGAATCAAGTGTGCTCTCACTACAGCATCCTAAATGTCTTACCACCCGCTCCAAGTGTATTAGTAACCAAAAGTTCTATTAGGACATAGTAAGGGTATGTAAAAAATGTAGTCCTGTTGTCTGCCGTAGTCTGGTTTCTGTTGCTGTAACAGAATACCGCAGAGTAGGTAGTGTATTAAGAAAAGCAGTTTGTTCCTGATCATTCCAGAGGCTGGGAAATCCCGTGTCAAGGTGCTGACATCTGGTGAGGCCTCCTGCTGCACCAAAACATGGCAAAAACCATTACATGTAAGAGAGCACTCAGGAAAGCAAACAGATGGGAACAAGAAAGAGCCAAGAAGTCACGCTTGCTTTTGTGACAAGTCACTCTCACAATAAGGGCATTATGCTCTTCATGAGAGTGGCGCCTCATGGCCTCGTCACCTCTGAAAAGTCCTACCTCCCGCTCCATCACAGCAGTACTTAGATTTCAGCATGACTGTTTGAGGGGATATTTGAACCATAGCAGTGTCCCAAGGGGTGCTGGGCCTTCTAGAAGTTCCATGGGTGAAGCTGCAGGCAGGATGTGCCTATAGATGTGAGAGGTCACAGGCTGGCACCAGTTAGACTCCACGGGGCGCTCTCACCACGGGAGATGCTGGTGTTATGCTTAGGCTCCATGATGGCTCTCTGGCCCCGAATCTTGGTGTCCCTCTCACCTTTCCAAAATCCTCATGGTGCAGAGGACAAAAGTTCCTGACAGGAGAAGAATGTGGAGAAAGGACCAAAAAAGTGAACAGCATGTTGACTAAGTAAATAGTCCTTGTTTATGGAAATGTGGCCTTAGGAAAATTAGAGAGGATTGACGAGTCAAGATAACTCAGCAGTTCCAGGGAAGTTTATCATCCTTTCTTAATGACGAGAAAATCCCACTGTCTTCACAGTAACTAAGGACCTGTCTAGGGGACTCATGCCAAGTTGTGACATTTTTTTTTTTTTTTAATTCTGAGGCTTTCCATCTCCAGTCTGTTATAGCAGGATGTCTCCTGAATATTTTTCTTTCCGATGAAAGGCAACATCACACACAGGAGTCTCCTTTGTGACGTGTCATGGACTTCCATTGGAAGGATTAAGGCAAAACAATCAGTTCTTGTGACATGGAATGAAAAACAGTCTCCAGGAGGCGAATTGCTGCCTTCCTTGTAAGATTCCTTTGCAAAATGCTTGCCTATAAAGCAGACCTTCTTTTTCATGCTTGCTAAGAATTTTGCATTTTGTTATAGGTTGTCACCGCTGGGGAAGAACTAGATTTTGAAACAGGACCACAAATATTTGATTTGCAGATTTATGTTAAGGATGAGGTGGGTGTCACAGACCTGCAGGTCCTGACTGTTCAGGTGACAGATGTGAATGAGCCGCCTCAGTTTCAAGGCAACTTGGCAGGAGGTAAGACACACTGGGATGTGCAATGCAGCCCAGACGGTGGTATTAGGGAGGACCCTAGGGGACGGAGCAAAACAGGAAAAGTAAATAAACAAGCAGCTGTTTCCCTGGAAAAGGCAGCTGCTTAATGAGCAGGGGATAAATGAAAAGTCCTCCGGCTCAGCACGCCAATCACGCTATCCAGCCGTATGCAAAGCCTCACATCTGTGGCTTCTCTTGGTCCACTCTCAGTTCTAGGGAGGACTCTGATCTCCCGTGGATCATTCTAGAGGAAAATGGGCCCCTCCCATCACAGGCTTATCACTGTTTTGCAGTCATTGACTGACTTGTGTGATCTCCCCATGCATGGATTGTGACTCCTTGAGGACACCTGTGCACAGGATCTGCCACAGCATAGGGACAATAGAAGGAACTGGAACCTAGGGGAACTTCCTACGTGATCTCATTGGGATCCTGGCTTTGAACACCATCTGTACACTGACAACCCCCAAGTCTATTGTTTCAGTCCAGGTTCTCCCCTGAACTTCCCTCTCAAACAGCCACCTGTCCTACTAAACATCACTTGAATGTCTAATGGACTTCCCAAACTTAGTGCACCCCATACCAAGCTCTTGATGCCCACTCCACCCCAATCTGCCTCTCCATTGGCTTTCCCATTTAGTCAATGGCAACTCCAAGTTCAGGTCTAAGATGGTCTGTGTCAGAATTCTGACTCTACCACCCATTAGCTGAAACAGCTCTGTAGCTTGTCTGAGCTTCAGTTTCCTTATTTGTAAAGTGCTAATTGGACTAAAAGAATAATTACAGTATCTTCTTTGTATAGTTGCTATGAAGCTAAAGGAGAAAATGTATGTTAAGTCCTCAGCACAGGGTCCCCAAAAAATGTTCCTTTGACTATTCTCAGAAATGGCAATGCCAGCAAGAGGGTGGTGTCCCCTCGGGCACTGCTGGTGGTATTCAGTGGGGCTGCCTGCTTTTCTCTGTCCCTGATTCCAAGAAGAACTCTGACACAGATGAAACCAGGTTTGGGCCCTCTCCCTGAGCCTGTGTGACCCACCCCCACCTTCTTCTCTCTCCTCTCTGCTCTAAGGCCCCTCATTGCAATGCTAAGTGCTAAGTGCACCTCAAGGGGTGACCTTGGCACAATTTGGGAGCAATTTTCATAGTAAGTGGATCTGGAACATGGAGCAGTCATACAGTGGAGGCACCTGAGGTTGCTTCCTGCCCCTTTGCCCTCCTCATCACCCTCTTTCCCCGCAAATAACAGCACCCAAGGTCACCTCTCCACGGAGGAGACAAATGGAGACGACACCCTAGCACTTCATTCATTGCCATAAATGGATCCATTTGTGAGTGGGCTGCTGCTCTAACTCCTGGCCTCTATTGTTGCTGCTGTCTGTCCCATGACGCCAATATACTTGGTTCCCTTCGGTGGCATTCACTTTATCTAATAAAATGTTTCTTATTTCCCTTTGGACACTGACACAGGCTTAGAACTCTATATAACAGAACGAGAAAACCCTGGATTCATTTACCAGGTTGAAGCCTTTGATCCAGAAGATACGAGACGGAACATAGCTCTCAGCGTAAGTCTCCTTGTCAAATGGAAGATGGGCTTGTCACATGGGCTTTGGCACAGGATGGTGTCCAAGCCTTGGTGAGCTGGGTGTGAGTAGTGGCAGCCACTTGATGCCCTCTTTCAGAGCACAGAGGATCAGGATGGTTGCAATGGGTCGGGGAGCTCTAGAGACAAACCTCCCAGCCTGGATTCATGGCTGTGTGATCTTGGAAAGTTCTTTACCTCTCTGGGCTTCAGTTCCTTCATAAGTAACACAGGAAGGATAATAGCACATAGCACAGGATTCTGAGTGTTAGAGCATAGAAAGCCACTTAGCACATGCCAGGCGTCTCAACACTGATCAGTATTGTTTTCTTCTAGCAGTACTGTATCTGAACTCAGGGCCTTATGCTTGCTAGGCAGGTGCTCTACCACTTGAGCCATGCTCCCAGTCCTTTTTGCTTGCTATTTTTTCATATAGGGCCTGGCTTTCCTGCCCCAGCTGACTTGGACTTCAGTCCTCCTACTTATACTTCCTGTGTAGCTGGCATGACAAAGGTGTGCACCTCCATACCCAGTTTTTATTGGTTGAGATGGGACCTCATGAACTCTTTCTCCCAGGACAGCCTTGAACCACAACCCTAATCTCTACCTCTCTAGTAGCTAGTATTAAAGGCATGAGCTACCACTCCTGGCTACCATCCATCAGCCAATCTGCTTGGAGCCAAATTGGAAAAAAAAAGAAAAGAAAGGGTCCCAGGGATTTTTGGGTATAGAACTAAGGACGAGGTGGGCCCTGGAGAGCTCCTTCACAGTTCAGTCTGCGGCAGATGATGTCACTTCTCTCCCTTTTAAAATCAGTTTCCTTAATTGAGATCCTAGGGGCTCATGTAAAGCTAAGGCTTCCCAGGAGAAGCCTTAGCTGTTCTGCCCCTAGGACCCTGCAAACACACCACGCCAGGCAGCCCAGGCTGGAGGGAGAAATCGAAGCTAACTCTACCCAGCTAACCTTGGAGCAGGCAGCACTGCTGCCAGCTGCCTTACAGAAAAGAGAGCACTTGAATATGGTCCACGAGGAGCTGGCAACACCAGGAGGTGCTTCTGCTGCTTGCTGCGGGATTTGCAGCAACAGGCCCCCCTTCTCTAACAGGAAGAAGCCAGCCTTGGGAATGAACTCCAGGTAGTCTGCAGGGTCTATCACAAAGCTATCACAAGATTACGGGCCACATCTTAAACTTAGGAAATCATCTGTTTTTATTAGAAAATGATCTTTCTGTCCAAAAGTTATTAATTTATTCATTCAAGATTCGTTCATGTCAACATTTGCATGAATATGTGAATGAATATGCGAACACATAATGGGTGTCTACTATGTGCTAAAAACAATGCATGCTTTCAGTGTCAGGCAGTAATGAGCTGGTCTGCAAATAACGGGACTTGAGCTACAGGATCATGACTCGAGGCAGGCAGGCAGGCAGTCCAGGGCTTTTGTGGCTACTACAGCAGGAACCTGGGCTCTTTCTATGCTTCTGCTCTTCCATCCAGAGCGTGCTTATTGGCTTTGTCCTCTTTTTCTTACCTCATGATTGCAAGGTGGTTGATGCACCTCCAGGCTTTACCTCTGAATTCCACGCAGGAAGAAAAACAAAGGAAGTAGAAGACATACAGGGTGAAGGCACAGGTCTGTCCCTTTTGGGGGCAGGAAGACAATAACCCTCATGGAGCCTCTACCTGTTGCTTCTCACTGACCAGAACTGTGTCCTATGGCCACTATTTCATGATGGTGATTGGGGAAAAAGAGATTCTGGATGGAGATTATGTTGGTATCCTAAAGTACAGTACCTCCTTATGTATTTAGATCATTTGTGTATTTACCAAGAACTACTATGTGGCAGGCATTCCATTAGCTGCTTTGGATATAAGCATGAGTAACACACAGTCTGGATGGGAGACACACATGAGCAGGGAAAAAAAGTAGTAGTGTCTTTTCCTCCCTTATCACAAGAGTCATGGCTGACGCCCTATGAACAAAAGACATATTCACAAGAGAAAAGCACAAGTTTATTTAATTAAAGTTTTGCCGAACACAGGAAGCTTCAGAAATGAAGACCCAAATTCCCAGGGAAAACTATGTTATTTTACACATAGGTTCCACAAAGCATGGATAGTCATGTAAAAGTATGATTGGTCAGAAAGGGGGTGTGGCAGAGCGGGTACTAACCTAGGGGACTGTAGTGAGGGCTGTCTGTTCAGATTCTTTTTGGCCTCTGGGTAGAGGGCAGGAGGCCTCTGGAAGGAGGGTCTTAGGACCTACTTTAGGAAGGTCAGAGAATTCCAATATGACCTTGCTTTAGGGGAGAAAAGAGGGCCAAGGTCAGAGACACCTTCTTGCTTCTGTGGTTTTCTCAACTGTCAACATGACATATATTGGGGTACTATGTTCTGAGGCCTAATACACCTACCCCAAATAATTACAATTCAATATGATAATTACTGTAAAATTTGTGCAAGATTCTGTAGGGGACCAAGTAGAAGGAATCTCAGTTGTGAAGACAAACATTTATTCTTAAATCCTCATTTTAACACATCTCCAAACTGTGCAGCTGGCATAAGGTCCTGGCCCTCTTAGCGACACCTCATAGGTAGGGTTGTTACCCTCGAAGAGGAAGGGAGGTGATCCAGGTGGAAAGCACTGCCCTAGGGTTGCTTGCTGCCATCGAAAGGATTCTGAGAGGACCTGGAAAACCTGGAGTCTGGTGGCCAGGATTGTGGCCACTACAGTGAGTTTACAAGTCACTAGGGGAAGAGCAGTCTGAGTCTGCAGCAAGTGTTAATGAAATATTTAATGCCTGCACACCTGCCTCGCCCCACAGCTGCACAGCCAGCCTGCAGGAACAGCTAACACAGTCTAGAAAGAACCCTTCTCAGACTAGAAAAGAGTGACAGTTTGTACTTATTCTGGGCACTTGGGCATACGAGGTGGCACGGTTTGCTCTGTAAAAGTAGAAAAGAGATGGGTTGACTTGCAGTAGACCAAGCCTGTGGCTGTTAATGGTAATTCCACAAGGGAACTTTCAAAACATTCTGGGGACTGCAGAGCTGCCTGCTTGTAAGTGCAAAGGCCAGAGCTCAAACTCCAGTTCCGACAAAAACAAACAAATAACAAAAACAAAACACTCCCATTCTGGGTCCTCCTGGAAAGGCTGATGAATTGGCCTTGGGCATGGCATAGACATCAGGAGCTTGAAGCTCCAGGTGATCTAATGGCATAGCCAGGATTGAGAAGGGTTGCAGCTGTGTTAAGACACTGCCTCCCAGATTGCCCCGCCCCCTCTGTGGAGCTTTGGATTCTGTGGGTCTGGGTTGGATCTGGGAATCTAAACAGTTTCCAGCCATCCTGGTGACTCCTGTGGTCAGAAAGACTTGGGTGGACACTGGCTTGGGAGCATTTCTTAGTGTGTGTTCAGGGATGGGAACATACTTAGGTTCTTTAAAGAATGCAGATTCTTGGAATCTGCAGGAGAATGCTGAATGAGAATGAAAACTTCCAGTGATTCTGATGTACTTTACACTTCAGAACCACTGAGCTGAACAAGCAAGAACAAACTTTAGTAAAACACCAAAGCATGAGCTGGAAGCAACCAAGGCTTGGTTTGTGCCTGTCATCTTGCCTGGTGGTCACCTTGCTGGTGAAAGTAAATAGAAAGTGAAGAATGAATTTTTTTTTAATTTCTTTTTCTGTTTTATTAGCATAAATTAATTGTACAAAGGGGTTTCATTGTGAATATGTTTAGGCTTTACAGAGTGTCTAATTTGGTTAGTCTTAAAAAATTTTTTTTTTGGCAGTACTGGAGTTTGAACTTGGTCTTTGATCTTGCTAGGCAGGAGCTCCACCACCCAAGCCACGCACACCTCCAATCCTACTTGGTTAAAATGAGAATTGTAAAGAAAAAGGATGAATTTTGAACTAGATCTAGGACAGGTCCTGAAACCTAAATCCTTTAAGATGACAAATATTATTACCCTTATCCAGCTTAATGAGGTGAAATTGTCACAGATAACGTAAAACAGGGGCTTATTCAGAAACCACTGATATTTACTCCCTCCTTTTATCCTTTTAAAAGAAATTTTTAAAGTATGTGGTTATACATTGTTTGGACCAACAGTGTTAAGTATTGGACCAGCACTGACCAATGGAGACAGAGATGAGTGCTGTGTATATAATTTTAAGTGTTCTAGTAGCCATAGTAAAAGTACAAAAAAAAGGTTGACATTAAGTTCAATAGAGTTTAACTCAATATATCCAATGTATTATCATTTTAACACATAATCAAAATAAAAGTGATTATATTAACATTTTTTCATATCAGTTTAAAACTTGGTATGTATTTTACACATTCAGACTAGCCACATTTCACATGAACCCAGGCTAGTGGCTGGAATGGGACACGTAGGCTTGGTCTAGTGACACTTCTTCTCCCTGGGCACCTTCTGTGCAGTGATGAGGGTGCAGGTGGAGCAGGGGCTCAGAGGTTGGCCTCAATAGTGTGCTCAAAGCATGAAGAAGGATGATCTGCATGTGAATAATTCAATGTCCTGGCATTTCTTCTCCTGGTGCCCCATCCCACACCTTCTCCAATTCCAGGCTCAGTGAGACCCTTCCCTCCTACCCAACTCCCTCACCCTTCCACCCCCTCTGCCTGGGAAGGGTCCTGTGACTGCAGCAGAGCCTCCTTGGAGACTCAGGATGTTAATGGGTTTCACAGCTGGAGGCAAAGTGATGTAGTGTAGCAGCCTCTCCATTAAGGGGCTTTCTCTGGCCCTTCCATTAAGGAAGAGCTTTTGCATAAAATGAAGTGTGCTTTGTCTTTACAGGGCAGACAAAGGCTTAAATTAAAAGAGCAATAACCTTGCTACTGTCTGGGCTACTGCAAAGGCGACAGAGAAAGTCATTCTCTCTGATTCATCTTCCTCATGGCTCTGAGAACCGGCAACCAGTCTAGACTTTGGGTCTTCCCAGGAGTACAG